TGATGTACAAGGTCCTGATTAGATCTATTTTTGACTATGGTAGCTGTATATATTTTCCTGAGTTAGTTAAAAACAGAGATGAGCTAGAGAAAGTACAATTTCTAGGCTTACGCGTTGCAATGGGATACAGGATATCTACTCCCAAGAATATAATTCTTGAAGAAACAAAATGTATGAATTTGAGAGAAAGAGCTGTGATGTTAGCAAAAAATCTTCTCGCGAAATTGATGATATGGGGTAGGGAAGATCTGAAGGAGAAGATTAAAATGTTGGAAAGCTATGAAACAAGGGATCGAATGAAGAATCCGAGAGGGCAGGGGATAGTAATTACGGAAGCATGGAGAAGAGTGAGGAAGGATAGAGGACTGGTAGAGAGGTCGTTGGGGTTTGACCTTTATAAAAAAGACTACTGGGATATGACAGACAAGGTGGAGACGGATTTTAGTGCAGGGGAAGAAAGGAAAAGTAATCGTACTTCAGATGAAGAAATGATCAAACAAGTAAGTAAAGACCACGGAATAGATAATAGTAAAGTGAATATATTCTTCACGGATGGATCCAAGAAGAGTAAGGGCGTGTCAACGGGAATAGGCATAATGGAAGCAGAAAAAGAAGAAGGGAAATTACATCAGTGTATATAAGAGATGCTCGACTTTCACAGCGGAGGTGATAGGAATAGTTAAGGCACTGCAGAAGGTAGAAATGGAAGAAGATAGAGAGGGCGATATACTGATAATGACAGACTCGAAGAGTGCAATCCAAGGAGTAGAATGTAATGAACTAGGTGTATACAAGAATATGTACATCAGAGAAGTAAGAAGGAGATATTTCTATATTAAAAGAAAGAGAAAGAAAAAAATAGTGCTAGTATGGGTCCCTGGGCATTGCGAAGTAGTAGGAAATGAGATAGCAGACGAACTGGCTAAGGCAGGAACTGAGGAAGAGTGTACAAGGTTACTTAAAGTGCCCTACAAAGATCTGAAGGAGGAATACAAGAAAGAGGGGAGAAGAAGAACAAGAGCGATAAATGTTAGAGAGAGTGAGTGGAAGGGTAAAGATTATTTTAAGAAGTTCTACAACAGCAAGAGAGAAAGCCCCTGATATAAAGGGAGAAACGATGTTAGAGGGTTTAGCACAATGATAAATAGGATCAGAGCGAATCATTACAATTTGAACGAATCGCTGGGAAGAAAAGATATAATTGATGTAGAAAGGTGTGAATGTGGAGCTGAAAAAGAGACAATAAATCACGTCCTATACATTGCGGAAAATATATTGAGGAGAGAGAATTCATGTTCCGAAAATTTGAAAGAGAAAGGAAGAGAGTAATATGTAATGTAGATAAATTGATACAAGAAGAAGAATGGGATATATTGTTCATTTCAGTTTCAGTTTTTAAAGAAAACATTTCAGTTTTTAAAGAAAATAGGGAAACAGATCTAAAAAGAGAGAGAGAGAAAGAAAACTAAGGGGGGTACCTGGTGGGAAGGCTGAATAATTTATTTTTTAGGCTAAAAGAAGAAGAGGATAGAGTGCCAAATAGTCGCTAAAACTTCGGGGAAGGCTGATGGCAAGGTGATATCTTCACCAATCTGGAGGAAAAAAAAAATATACGCGTATACATAATATGCGAAATAAAATAATTGATATCATTGTTTACAAGTTTTAATGACAAAATTAATTTCATATAAAAATGTTCAATATAAAGGGGGACATATTCTAAGAACGGTTACATTATAGTAGATATGTTAAGAACATTTTAAGATTAATTTTTGTTTTTTAAATTGAATATAATTTTTCCTCTTTTATATATAGAAGTATTCCACTAGTTATTCTATGTATAAAAATACTAAAATGAAATAATAAAAAAATGAATATTTTTGAGATATTTCATTTTAATATCTTCCAAAATAAAATATAAAATGTCATTTATTTTTTAATGACCTTTATATTTTTATAATTAAAATAATCAAAGGAATAAGTTGATATAAAAAAGCATAAAGAAACATATTCCATTGCACTTTATACATACATTGATACATCTGTAAAAAATATTAAGTTAATTTCTTTCCATATTTTCTTATTGCTGTTTTATGTCTCTAAGATATCTCCAAGATATATTTCAGATATATTATATGAGTCATATCTGAAGAAATTTAAAAATTTTTATATATAAGACATTTTCTTTACATTTATGTTGTAAAAAATTTACTCATTTACGACAGAAACAAGAAATTAAAGTTGTATACTTTGGATATATTTAAACTCAAGGTTATATAAAAATCGTGATATTGGAGATCGTTAAACTTACTTTTATACTAGCTATAAAATTATATGTTAAATAAAATGCTATGATTTAAAGTTCCAAAAAATATGAAACTCAAAAATTAGTTTCGAATATTTGATATGCTCCATTGAATAGAATACATATTTTCTGAGATATTTTTCTATAAAATCAAGACTAAAAAAGTTAATATGCTAACATTTTATACATGAAAAAAAATTCGTTTCGATTTTCAGTCTTTAACATTCACTTTCTAGCGTAGAAATATACGAATACTGCTAGAATATCGTTGAAAAATTATAGACAATTAGCAACAATTATTTAGTTGATAAACATTTTATTTATGTTTAATGTGATATATAACTCAAAAATGAATGTTGAATGTGAGTTATATAACTTAAAAATCAAAACAAATTTTTTTATTTTTTCGTAGTGTGTAAACATGTGTACATTTCCTTGCGAAACAGTTTGATCGTAAGCCTAATCCTGTAGTAAAGATATTTATATTTTTTACGAAGTATCCATTCCAATTGTTATAATGGATTATCGTATAGGCTCGTGAGTAATAGCTTACAATCTTTATTATTTGATGCGTTCCTACATTAGAAAAAAAAGTTCAAACTCATTTCGCAACACAAATAACATAACATGTGTTAATATCACCCTGGACATACTTAGGACGGGAGCGGTGCACTTGGACACGGTGCATTTGGACACAGCCAATCACAGCACCGTGTGATTAGAGACATTTGTAGGGTCCCTTGGAACAGCGACTTGTGATTGGACTGTGTCCAATTGCCCCGTGTCTAACTGATATACACCCGTTCTTAATACGTTTAGGATGATTTTAGGATGTCTAATGTTATCTGGGAGAGAATTAAGTGTACACAATGCACACAAAGTAGAACAGTCAAATATTTTGAAGTACATACACAAAAGAATGTAATAATTAAATATAATAATAATTTAATAGTTTGTGCATTATAAACTCTATTTGGATGTTTATATGTACAAAATTATTCTCCCAAGTGTCGATAATTTATATTGTACAAATAATAATAATAGTATTGTACAAAATAATAATATAATAATAATAAGTTTATAATCTATTATATATCTTTTATATATATACACGGTGACACCGAACAAGGTAGTCAAACTTCGATATCATATTCTACTCTTCCTAAGGATGAAAAAAAGTTATATAAACATAGGTCCGGAAACATAGGTCCTTTTCAAGAAATACTTTTTTGTTTATGATTGAGTATATTTAAAGCTTACTTAAAGAAATTGCTAGAAATGATTATCTCCTGCAACAATACATGCTTCACATCGATGTTGCCAATGGTATATTCCAAACTTATGTTTATGAATCAGAGATTCGTGCTTTCCGAGACATAAAAACTTTTCTGGATCTATGTTTACATGACCTTTTTCCATCTTTAGGAAGAGTAGAATACGGTACCGAAGTTTGGCCACCTTGTTCGGTGTCACTCTGTATATACATATATACAAGGTGTCCTGCCACTACTGCATTATCTCTTAAGGGTGGATTCCTGAGATAATTTAAAGAATAAAATCTTAATACAAAAATGTCAAGGCTATAATACTTTTCAAATTATAAATGATTAAAGTTGACCAATTATATTAAAGTACGTTCGCTCAAGTATGGTACAACACACAATGGTACAAGTGCATGCACATAAGAATTTGCATAAGATATGAAATTAGTTGTAAATCTCTGAAAAAAATGTCAAATATGTGACAGCTTATTGATTCTTATAAATGTATTGTATGATATTTTACTCATAACATTTTGACGAAATTGTTATTATTTGCGATATGTTAATTTAAATCATAGAAAAGGTAGATTATTATTACATACGTTGTTATATGTATGGAACTTCCATATCAATATTTGGAAAAGGGATGCATGTGCATGAACCTATACCATTGAGCGCTCAACAGTTGCACAACAGTTGAGCAATTCGTCAATGTAATTGGTCTAGATTTAGGGATCTAACAGTAAGAACTAATAATCGTTGATTGCTCACTGAGCAATACCAGCTTTTTCGGGAGCGGTGCACTTGGACACGGTGCATTTGGACACAGCCAATCACAGCACCGTGTGATTAGAGACATTTGTAGGGTCCCTTGGAACAGCGACTTGTGATTGGACTGTGTCCAATTGCCCCGTGTCCAACTGATATACACCCGCTTTTTCCGCTGAACGCACCCATTGTGTGTTGTACCGTACTTGAGTGCGCGTATTTTAGCCAGTATAATTGACCAACTTTAATAGTTTATAATTTGAAAAATATTATAGCCTGGACATTTTTATATTAGGATTTTTTTTATTCAAATTACCTCAGGAATCCGCCCTTAAGAGATAATGCAGTAGTGATGGGATAACCTGTATGTATATATGTGTATACATACATACATACATACATTTGTGTGTGTGTGTGTGTATATATATATTATTTATTATATATATATATATTTTTTTTTTAATAACGTCAGAAGCAAGAAAATACATGCTAAAAATTTTTGCAAAATATGTTAAAATAAAAATATATACCCACAAAGTGACATTTGCAATCGATTAAATAAATTTGTAAGATATTCCGTGCACATAATTTATTGTAAATTAACCTGAATAGAAATAGACGAAAAAATAGATTAAGAAGATGAATTGTATGTCATGTTAATTTACAACAAATTATTGATTGTTAGAACAAAAAAAAAAAAAAAAAAAATATATATATATATAAGTTTATTTTCTTTCTTATTTATATATGTTAGCACGCAAACTATATGCAAAACATATTAAACTTTTATTTATAGAGTGTTACCAAATTAACGTTCGGGAGAGGAAATAGATAAAGTCAAACTAAACATAGAAGCTTTCTACCATTTTGTAAACAATCACGTAAATTTACGTGTGCAAATTTCACGTAAATTATTAATTAAATTGGCAAATGATCGGGCGCGATATGATAGAATAAGCGTTGTAGATTAGAACCTGAGCCACGCCACTCGCAAAGTTATTCCAACTTTCGCTGATTGCGAATTGGCGAACGCGAGTGAGAGTTCAGTGAATATTAGAGCACAATCAGTGAATATTAGAACGCAGTCCAGTAAACGGTAGCTAAACTATATAAGTTCATATTATGTAATTTGTTACAGATTTTCAGCATTGTTAGTAATTTTAAAACATAACCTCTACAGAGTTCGTATACCACGTAGCGCGCGATAATTATTTTTAATTAATCCGATCATTTTGTCGCGCTTATTTGTTTCTTAATTATATCTACCAATTTATTGATTTTATATTTTATAACTTTCATAAAGAATAAATTATTTTTAATTTTATTTATTACTAATATATAATTATTTACTGATTATATAAATGTATATATTAATCATTATTAACATATAACTATTTATTATTAAGGCTTTTAGCTTCTCGCATTGTTAATCTTTTTTTAATAACGTCAGAAGCAAGAAAATACATGCTAAAAATTTTTGCAAAATATGTTAAAATAAAAATATATACCCATAAAGTGACATTTGCAATCAATTAAATAAATTTGTAAGATATTCCGTGCACATAATTTATTGTAAATTAACCTGAATAGAAATAGATGAAAAAATAGATTAAGAAGATGAATTGTATGTCATGTTAATTTACAACAAATTATTGATTGTTAGAACAAAAGACGAGTGCACAGAATATCACAAATTTGTTTAATCTTTTGCAAGTGTTACTTTATGGATATATATTTTTATTTTAACGTATTTTGCAAGAATTTTTAGCATGCATTTTCTCGTTTCTGATGTCATTAAAAAAAAGATAGACAATGCGAGCTTTATTTTCAGTTAAATTCACGCACTTTCGGGTTTTCTTATGGCTTAAAAAGTTTACATAGTTTGCAAAATGGTAAAGGATTTCTTATTCAACTTGACTCAATCTACCTGCTACTGAATGCTTAACATTAATTCATTAATAGTCTATATTAATGAATCACACATATGCACGCACACGCACGCACGCACACGCACACATTATCCTGCGCAAATAATTTTATAATTATCAACATAAAACATTGTCCGCATTAATTATTGATATAATATATAACCAATTATTAATATATATTCTGTCTATATCGCTTAAAAATGGTCCCCTTACGTTTATATTTTAATTGCTTTATTCTAATATATGAGATCGCACTATATATTTTCACAAGCATCGCATATAAATAATCTTTTATACGTTGATAAAATGCAAATCGCCAAATATTTCTGAGTTCCAGAGTTTTCGCAAGACTATTCTAAGAAGAATAATCTTGCATTATGTCCATACATTCTTAGATATTGTCAAAATTTCTGAATTTGCTTTCAGTAATTAATTAATTATTTACAGACGTCTCTCTCTCCCTCTCTCTCTTTCTCTCTCTCTCTGTCTCGATATAGAATATAAAAAGTACGTGTAACATACACACGCGCGTATATGTATGAATGAGTGAGTTAAGTAAATGAATGAAAGATCACAGATACATTTTTTGATCCAAATATCATTAATGTTTACTATTTCCAATTCATATTCAGATAAAATAATGTCCTTTTAAAGCTCAATTTGTTTAAGAAATAAGGAAACTTTACCTTTAAATTTATTAAAATTTAAAGATAAAAAATTCAATAAAACAAATTTCTTTGCTCATTTGAAAGAAAAAAAGTTTAAATAGGACCTAAAAACACACACTAAAGATCAAAATTACATTTATATCTGGGAGAAGCTACATCAGAGCTTAACACGCATTGCAAATTTTGGCCAATTTTCGACTTACTTTGCTTAGTGCTATTTTTCTTACTTCATCATCCCGTTCAACTTACAAGCCGTTTCAGATTCAAGAACGTATGATTTGTAAATATATATTTTTAATAATTTTTTACTATTGGAAACAAATATAACTCATATGTTTCTAAGTCTCGAGTAACTTGTAAGTTGCGTGTAAGACGATAAGATAAGGGAAATAGCGCTAGACGGAGCAAGTTGAAAATCGACCGAAATGTGCAACGCGTCCCGAGCTTTGAACTACATAATATAAATATCATAACGCTTGAGGAATCAAGAATGATCCCTTAAGGCCTTTTTACATTGGCTGCAATGGCAGTTGCAATATTTGTCGCAAACAGTGACCACAAATTCAGAG